CTTCTTTTTGCAGATACAGTATATGCAAGTATACCTCCATTGCTCTGGTGTCTGTGGGATATTTATTTGCACTTTCATGTCAGCGAAGCAGGTGGTAAGAATCATTCACAAATTATTTATATTCACTGCTTGCAGCAGGGGCTTAGGGGCTAGCTACTTATTAATGATACAATAAATTTAAATGCTTATGTAATATAAGGATTCAAGTCTTTAAAAGAGTGGAATGGAGGGAATTATTTCCCTTGAGTCTAAACACCTTGCATGTAGTTCTGGTCTCTGTACCCACTCATTTTTCTTGTTTCCTAGACTTCGCAGTCCAGCTCAAGTGAGAATGATGGATTCCAGGCATTTGCATGGTGGTTACTAGGCAAGTACAGTAATTACGATAAAGCTAATTACCTCTGTAGTTCTGTTTGCTGAGTTTTCTCCTAAGGGACATGTTTCTTGGCCAGAAGCTTTGGCTAAACAAATTATGCTTTGGAAGAGAGAGGCACCTGGGATCATATATCCCTGAGCCTCAATGTTTAAGAAATGAAACAAGAAAATGCCCACGTTCCTGGGAATGTGTTCTGTGACATGGACCCGTGTTTTTGCAAGGTCGTTGCTGGTCTAGGAAGAAAGGCCCCTGTCTGCTTGCCTGTCACACTCCGGGAGCAGATCTTGAGTATCATCTGTTTCTTCTTAATCTGTCTGCTGAGTAGAAACTTCTGCAAAAGAAGGACACATTTCAGCAGTTGAGTCTTTCAATTCCCAAGGAACTTATTTCTAAATCTTGGATTTATTTTCTTCAAAAGTTAGCTGTTCCATATGGCAGTGTTCCCAATCCCGACTGACATCAGAGTCTCCTGGGGAATTTTTTAAACACAGGTATCTCTTTGAGGAATTAATTAGACAACTCCTGTAGAGTTTTGCCCTCACGTGTGACACAGGGGTGAAGCTCCAAGTACTTTCAGAGTGAGACTGACAATGGAAAAGCAAGAGCAAGAGCTATACTCTTCTTTCTTGCCTTTGACACTGTATTCCTTTCAGTTGCCATTGTTAACATGGATCTTTTTGAGCTATTGGAAAATACCCAATGAGAAAAATTTGCAAAGGATATGAGCGTATAGTTCATGGGAAACAAAATTAAAGTTCAGTAATTTTATGTTCAGCTTCACTAATCTAGTAATCAGAGTAATGCAAAACAAAAACAGACTCTTCTTTATTTTTTGCTTTGTTATATTGGCATGATAATAAACGATTATTGTTATTGCTGCTAAGGGTGTAGTCAGATAATCATTTTCATATAAATTGTTTACAGTGTATTGACACAGACTTTCTGGGAAAAACATTTTCTATTGAGTTTTTTTAAATGTCTCGACTTTTGTCTCAGTTCCAATTATGAGAGTTTATCCTGAGGAAATGGTCAGTGTTTGGTTTAAATATTTACATATGAGAATGTACATTGATTTTATTGATGAAATAATTGGAAGTAATCTAACCAGTCTCTATTCTCATCTTGTAAGCTATTTTGGTATGTTCCACCCACATGGTAGAATAACATGTAGTCATGAAACATATTTTTGAAAAAAATGAAAATCCAGGGAAAAAATCATGAAGAAAGTAAGATATAAAACTGTGTATTTATTCTGACCCTGTCTTAGTATAAAACATATACATAAATGTGTATATATGTTTCTGGAGAGATAACATTCAGGACTGGACAGTAATATTGTGGTTGATTTTGATTTTTATTTGACTTTTTGTACATGCCTGCGATTTATACTATCTGTCGGCCTTTAGCAACCAATAAATATCTTTTAAGAAAACATCTGGAAATTAGCAAATGCAGACACTTGTAACCTATGTTTGTTTTTTAGGTATCGGAGCACTGACTTTTGCTCTTCTCATGTCAGCAAGGATGGGTATTTTCCAGGAGACATTATACAAACAGTTTGGGAAGCATCCCAAGGAGGCTGTGTTTTACAATGTAAGTGATTGTGTGAACCTGGGGGCAAAGAAAATCACTGAGTGGTAATATGTTATTTCAAATGTATTATGCCATCCTTCTGGATCAGTGTATTATCTGATGAGTTTTTGTAATTCACAGACTGAAGTACTTTTAATAGGCCACTCGTGTATTCCCAGCCACAGTTCTCTGCCTGAGAGGACAGTGATCAGATACTGTGAACAAAAGGTGTCTGCTCACCAGGAACCACCTGAAGGGACAAGACCTTCACCTCCAGGTTCCTGTAGATGAAATTGGGTTACAACCAATGTGGAAACCTAGAAAAAGCAAATAAGTTGCAGAGCACCGAGCCATGGGAGGCGGGCATTGGCAAGTGAGGACTTGGAGGATGAAGTGGGAGAAGTCCTTGAGATGGGCTTTATCTGAGGGAGAGTTTAATTAGCCAATTATATATGCTGACACTGCTTTGTTTTAAACTGCTGATCTGAAGCCACTTCCTCCTCCTTTCCTCTGCCCCCTCCCTCTTGCAGTTGAGATAATGCCCAAAGCATAGCCCCTCCTGGGCAGGGTGATACAGTTTCCTCCATACTCAACTAACCCCAGAGATTCATCCACTGCCAATGTTTTGTACTGAAGCTGCAGGCAAGCAATTCTGAGATATTTAATTGGAGCTAGAGGATGTGGCTGGGAATTTTGAAAACAAAGAAACATTTTATTTGGTTCACAGTACCTGGCACATAACAACTGCTCAGTAAATGTGAGCTTTGCTTCCTTACGATTACAGGATGTTGTTGCTAATAAGCAAATTAGTCTTGGGGGCAGTATCTACCGTCTTCTTCCTCTTTCTCTTTTTATTCTTGTCTTCATTTCTTTTTCCCTCACCTTGTATTGTCCTTAAATCTCCTTTGCCACTTGTTTTTAAAACTACCTGAAATCTGCCTTCACATTCTTTATGATTTGCACATCCATTATACTTGCTTCACCATTCTCAAAAGGAGCAAAAAAGAGCAAACAAAGCCTTTTGGGTTGAATGACTTGATTTGTTTCCCTTTTGTCGAGGAAAGTGATAGCCCTTAGACTTTGCATGGGCCGGAATGGTAGTCTGGGGGGTAGATAGATCGGGCTGTACTTGAAGTCATCAAGTGGTGAGAGCACTGGGTGCCTTTAATGTAGTAAGTCTAACGTAACATTTCTTGGTGATTGCTTGTCAAGTAACTTGTAAAATTTTCAGTCTTTGTAAAGCTACTCTAATTATTCTGTAATGTTTTGCGTTTAAATTTATGTGAAATATTTCTTCCCGTAGCATGCCCTTCCACTTCCTGGTTTCATCTTCTTGGCTTCTGATATTTATGACCATGCAGTTCTATTCAATAAGTCTGGTGAGTTTGGGATTATCCAGTAGAATGTCCTGGCAGTTTCTGAGGCAGAGTCTCACTGTTACTCTTCACTTGACCACTGTTTTTTTCATGATCTTATTTAAATCACCAGCCCTGCCCAAACCATCCCCATTCCACCTCCCAGGACGACAGTGCCATTAGTCACTAGCTGGGCAGCAAAAGCTTTCACAGGCGCTCCTCAATTATTTGCAAATGAAGTAAGAGAATATCTTCAAGTTTCCCACTTTGCTTTAGAATTTGTGTTTTTGCATTTGAGTGTAGAATGTTGGAGGATTTGAGGATGCAAACAAATAGCAGTAAGACCACAGAGGCCTCGAGAAGACAGGCAGCGTCCAGCGCGCCTCTGCTCCTGTTCATCCTCTTCTGCTGTGAAAAGCAGATCTGCTGCAGACCCAGACCGAGATTCCCTGGAGCCAGAAAGGCAGCATGCACAATGACAAGGCTGGTTTCTGAGTCACAGGTTCATTAGGTGTAGGAGTTAGCAAAGTTTGTTCGGGTGTCCAGAGTGTAAGTTAACTATTACTTTTTTTAAGTGGTCATTTAATAAGTGAGTTATAAATTTCCAGCTAACTTGAAAGAAATTATTTCTAAGATCTGATTATCTACTAAGATAATAATTAATAATAATAATTTCTACTAAGATAAAGATGTAGAGTGTTGCCCAGATAGGTCAGCATACAGGAGCAGATAAACACTTTTAAATTACACTGTCCATTCAGAGCTACGTGGCCCATGTGTGTGCGTGCGGAGCTACAGGATGTGGTCAGTGGACACTCGTTTGCCGTCTGTGCTGAGTTGTGAAGCTGGGGCTGCTCTGACTTTGCAGTTTGCATCTCCCAGCTGCCTTCCCTAAAATGTAGGAGCATAGTAAATAAGGACGTTTCTAAGGCTCTGAATTACTCAGAGGGTCATTTCTGATTTTTGACAAATGCTATTTAAGGTCTCTGAACCTTAAGAGGTCTCTGAACTCACTTAGCAAAGGGCTGCAGAACAAAACCTGTAATCAAATGCCTGGGGATTGATTTTGATTTGGTTACTGGGATGCTGCTTCCAAAAGCCACAGGGGTGGTAGTCACGTAAAATTTTCTTAGAATCTGCCTTCACCTTCTTTAGAATCATCCCTACGTTAAGCCATTTTTTTTTTTTCTCTTGCTTGTCTCAAGGCTAAATGTCTCAGGTGGACCTGTTATCCTTGAGTTTTCTGAGAGCAGAATATCCAGCTAAAAATTTTTAGCTGTTCTGATTGCTTCTTTCCTCAGCTCATTGATTCAGTAGATCTCCAAAGTGGTTAAACAGGAATAACATTGTTAATTTTCTTTTCATGCCAATGCTTGCTGGGTATCAAAGACAGTAGAGTACCAGATTATTGGGATTTCCCACTGTTCCAGACAGATGGTCATAGCAAATTATCTTTATTTATTTATATGACTTTTTTGTTTTGCAAAAGAAAATTCATGTTCCTTTACTAACCAGAATTCCTTAGAATTCCTTAAGTTATGCTGTAAAATTTCAAAACCACAATACAGTATAGCAGTACCAAAAATCTCACCCTTCCACAATTCCCATTCCCTTACCTTATTCTCTTTGATCTTGGATATTTTGTTTTCTTCACAGTAAAATTTACTGTGAAAACCTTATTATAAAAAACTAAAGAAGTTTTTAGTTTAGAAAAGAAGAAAAGAAGAAAAGTTATAGTGCCATTGCCCTTTATACCAGATAATTTGATTTTACTAGTTTCTTCCAGACCCTCTCTACATATATTCTCACATAGCAGTAATCCTCATGGAGATAAAATTTTATTCTTGCCTTCTCATTTTCATTCTAAGTTTTTTCTTAATGGGACTTTGATAATCTTTATGATTTTTTAAATCAAATGTGTAACACCTCATCTAGCTTAAGTACCTTGCTTACACAGTCTTCACTGTATCATGGACATTTAGAGTGATTCAGTTAGTCTATTATGTGTGGTACTATTATAAATGGTACCACAGTGAAAGAAGAACTTTGTTCTTCCTTTGAATTATCTAGGATTACCTCCTAAGAATGAATGTCAGTCCTTTTGTGATGCCTTCATAAGTGTTAGGAAATTAAACTTTATAGACAGCACCAATTTATACTACCAGTTCCGCTTCCACTTTGCCATATGGGAGTATTATTCATACATTGTAATCGCTAACTTAATGGCTATGAAATAGTACCTTCTTGCTGAATTTGGAATTCTTTGATTCCTTGCAGGATTAAACGTATTTCCAAGTGGTTTTTAGTTCCAGCCGTCTTTCCTCCTGTGTTGTTAGTTAAGACCATATCATTTTGAACCTCTCTGTGCTTCACTGTCTTTCTTTGTAAAGTGCGGTCCTATTCAGGTAAATGGTATAGTGTATTTTAAAATTAAAACAAATTATTATTTGTTTTAAGAGACCAGTTTAATGGCCCTTGAAGCTGATGTAGCCTGGCATAAAGGCAAATAATGTGGTGTTTGGTCCAGTTCTGTCTGCAAGGGAAATAGCATTGCTGTCTCTGTTATGTTCAGTCTGTGTACTTTGTTCAAAAAGATGAAAATGTTAGTGTTAGCTGACTGAAGTGATACAACTGTCTCCCTCTCTTCATCTCTGCAGAATTATATCAAGTCCCAGTTGCTGGTGTGACAGTGCCCATCATGTGGTTCTACCTCCTCATGAATGTCATCACCCAGTATCCTTTATGCTCCTCTGTGTTGGCTTGGTGTAGGAGTGTTACTTTTCTAACAGGATAGTCACATAGGTTTCATTTTGGCTAGATCTCTGCAGAGGCCCCGCGTGGCTTGCCAGAGAGAAGCTGGTGCTATAGGCCAGTCAGCAGGTCGCTGGAAGTGCTTGGGGAAATGCTTGGGGTGGAGGATAATGAACAATTGGTATATCACATGCATGTTCTGATTTCTGCTTGGACGTT